CCTTCTGTCTAGTGTAGATGTCAAAATGTTTTAGATTGAAGTAGGCAGACGTCACATGGTTTCAGTGAGTCCTTAGAAATTGTAAATTTACATTGTTTGAGCTTTAAATGAAAGCTTTCCAGCAAAATCCAAATCATCATCATCCAGTGCCAGATCTGCGACAGACATCGGCAATCATGATTTTCCATTCATTCCTTTGCTCAGATGCTCTCAGAAAAGCTACGCTTCCCTGATCTTTCCCTGTTACCCATTTGTTTAGGTTCCCTAAGTATGTTATTCTGGGCCTACCCCTGCCTCGCTTGCCCTCAATTTTGCCAGTGAGAGCTAGATGTTCAAGACCCTTATGTCTATTCAGGTGTCCCAAAATCTGCATTTGTCGTTTCCTGATTGTTTTTAACAATGAGCGTCCCAGGTGGGCTTCATCAAGCACTACCTCATTTGATTTCTTTTCCTTCAACGATACTCTTAGCATTCTCCTAAGAAACCACATTTCTGTTGCCTCTATTTTATTTTCACTGTCTTTAGTGATTGTCCAGCATTCACAGCCATATAGAATCCAAATAGAAATGTGTTTTTAATTGGACCCAAAAGATGTTGAGTAAAAACCCCCACAAATTTGATAAAATTGCCAAACAGGCAGATAAATGATGGCTTCTTTGATTTCTTTATTTTGACAACTGCCGGATTTCACCCCTGATTTCACCACGATCCCTCACAAATTTTCAGCATTCAAATTCAGTTTTAAAACTTCCGTAACTGGGTCTTAAAAACTTAAACTAAACAGCAGGAAGGCCGGGATAAAATAGAAATCTATGTCCAATCACTGCCTATTTACAAAAAGGAAATTACAAAGTAGACATAAGATAACAAAATTAATACAATTATTCACATTTTAAGTAAAAAATTCACTTGAACTAATAAAAACACTATGCTTTTTTTACAATTTAAAGCTCTATGATCAAAGACTGATTCTTCACTTAGACTGATATGGTTTATAATGTCCAGTGTCATACAAGAGAAAATGTTTGAAATCCTCAATTTCACTACACAAATCATAAAATGAATCTCCAAGGCAAGCAACTGCTTCTAAATGAATTTCAAGCCAAACCTGATATGAAAGCATAAAATCGGCCAAAACAGAATGACCATTCTCCCTTGCAAGGTCAGCTGGCAATGCACCCTCAGAGTTTTCAATAGAGCAAGCCACGGCAGCACCAGGCGAGGACAGCAGTGCGCACACAAGTTCATTCAGGCCGAACGCAGCAGACAGATGCAGGAGAGTTGGATATAATCCTTGCCCTTTACTGGAGGCTGTGGTGGATGGAAGCAATCATCTCATGAAAGTATAGAATCATCTTATAACCACATGTATCATCAAACATGTTTGCTGCGGCTTACCTCCTCATCATAGTTGTGAGCACTGTTAGCCCCCCTGGCATAAAGCTGGATAATAGAGTGAATTATGATCCTGGTTTGAGAATTCAACTGGGCCAATTCTAAACTCGAGCAGTGTTGGGTATTTGCAAAGATTTTCCACAGTATTTGCTTTGTTCTATTTGAGATGAAGGAAAAATTCACAGGTTCCATATCTCTTAAGTAATTTTGTTAGAGCTTTGTAACTGGCATTAGACCTATACCATATCACAACATACTAGAAACAGTGCAGTTAACTTTAAAGACAGAGGATTTGTTCTCCTAACAGCTTGTTCTAACAATATGTAGTTCATATGATCTCAGTAATGATTGCTTGAATTCAAGGCAAGTATTAGTCTGAAGGCTATATAAATATCTATTTAAAGCATATTATATAAATTAATGTTTTTGCTTTGAGATGACTGAGACAGTGGCACTCAGACTCATCAAGGTTCAAAGCATGTCTAGAAAGAACAGAATGGCAAGCACAATATTTAGAAATAAATAAATAATTTATAAATTAATAAACATGACAATACTATTTCAGCTTTAATAGGAGGCTACAAACGTCCAAATTTGATCTCTGAATTGTCTCTTTACAGATAGGAAAAAGCTGCCAGGTAAGACTGGAACTTATTGTAAGCTGATTTTTGTATAAAGTATACCATATCAAATGACAACTAAATATTGACTTGTCAGTGTAAGACCCCGTCATATGCCATTTTTCAAAAAGGCATGTGGTGGAGTCTTATACAAAGCAGTCGATCTTTGCTTTCATTTAAATACAAAAAGAGTTGTCATATGGAATACAAATATGTTAGATCTTTAATGCACATAGGAAAAATGAGAACAAGCATACACACATGTTTGTGTGTGTGTATGTGTGAGTGTATGTGAGTGTGTATATGTGTGTGTGTGTGAGAGTGTGTGTGTGTGTGTGTGTGTGTGTGTGTGTGTGTGTGTGTGTGTGTGTGTGTGTGTGTGTGTGTGTGTGTGTGTGTGCATATATATATATATGTGAGGTAGCATGGTGAAATCAGGCTCTCATCAAAATATTGAAAGTGAAGAAACTGGCATTTCTCCGTAGGTTGGGGAATTTTTATTGAATTTTTGTTTTTCGGCTCAACACTTTTTCTGCCCATTAAAAACACATTTCAGCGTGGATTTCACCGAAAAACGTTGATTAAAGGTATAAAAGATGTGAATTTTCGGTTTCTATAGGGCTCTCATGCTTAAACTTTGTCTCTGAAACCAGGCGACTTTACCTTCTTCAATCGCAAATATCTCGACTAGCATCCAAGATAAATGGATATTGTTTTCATTGAAAGCAACGCAAACGGACAGGCTTTAAGATGATGCCAAAAACTCTGTATGCCAATAAATTGACGAGCGCCTGATTCCACTGCGTCGTGACACAAACACACACACACACACACACACACACACACACATATATTTAGCTGGGTATCCATTTGATGAACGGACTCAAAAGAATCGATCTTCAAGTCATTGTGGAATCAGTGCGCACTGCTTGTGAAAGACTTTCCCAAGATTAGATCTAAACAAAACTAATGGAAAACTGAAAATTAAACTACAGTGACTTTAGACTCCTTAATATTACTGTGCACCCTTTAAATTTGAAAGTTAAGTGGTTCGGAAATTTTAAGCGACCAAAGTGACGAACTTTCACAAATATGACAGAGATAGAGACAGAGATACAGAGAGAGACCTAGATAGACAGACCTAGATAGACAAACATAGATAGACAGACAGACAGACAGACAGAACATGAGACAGACACAGAGACAGACAGACAGAGAAGAAAATGACAATCTAGGGGCGTGACAAAATTAATATAAGGGCAAGTGAAGTTGAGGTTAGACCCTTCCATACCTTCTTCCATAGCAAGCTGACAAATGACTGAAGTAACAGTATATAGAAGTAACAATAATTTATCAACAGGTTGTGTGTCACAAAGACAAGTAAAAAAAAAAGAACCTTGAACCTGTAATATTTTTTTCTAGTTTTAGTATAGGTTTTCCGACACTTGCAATACAAATATCAGTCATGTAGGTCTGATAGTTTCATCTAGATGACAGTACATCTATAGTGCATGGAAAAGAAAATGCCAAATTTTTACCTGTTGATGAGTCTCCAAGATAATCTAAAACTTGGTTTGAGTAGGAGACTGTGTTGAGAGTACATTTGTATTTTGTCGCCAGCTTTTCATCCAATTCTCTTATAGACTCAGCTCCTGTTGTCTCACGTAGAAATTCAACACTGAAATGCATTGAAAAAAAAATGTTGACCTTATCTATGTCCATAACGGATTAAAACAGTCAATTATTTCATATCTATAACTTCTACATAACAGTGTTAACTAATTGAGCAAAAACTCAGTGGTATGTGCAAAGCATGGAAAGAAAGCCCAGTGAAGTTAAAGACCTTTGTAGGTGGTCCCTTTTCTCTCTATTGTCTTGCTCTCTCTCTCTCTCTGCATTCTTGAGAGCTGTTTCATCCCTCTACATAAGAACAAATTGTTAGTGAAATACGTTTTGTTTATTTCAATGACAGCCAAAGTCAACGCAAAACTAAATCAAAAGTAAGTTTAAAATGTCATGGAATAGCAACAAAGTAATTCAACATTGATATTCTCTAAAAGGATTTAACTGTTTCAGTATTTGTTGCTCCCTTATCATTTGATCAGAAAATTGTGAGCCCAAAATTGATGATCTTCTCTGGGCTAAGCAGGTTAGAGCATAGAAAATTGAATTCTACAAACATCATCATCACCATAAAGTATCAGATCTGAAACAGACATTGTTGTTCAAGGTGTACTATTCACTTCTATGCTTAAATTCTCTCAAAAAGCTTTAATTATCCTCATCACTCATCTGATACGGTTTTTGAGTGGCTCCGCCTCTTTATAATTGTCCTCTATTTATTCAGAGAGAGTAAGACTTAAGACCTTTATGTCGATTCAAGTGTCCCAGAAACTGAATTTGTCTCTTCTTTATTGCTGCTATTAGGGAGTGGCCCATGTGAGATTCTTTCAGCATTACCTCATTCGATTTCTTTTCCTTCAATGAAATATTCAGCAGTCTCCTAGGAGACCACTATAAAATCATAAATACTGTAAATTATTTGACACATGTAAATAAGTAAAATTCTTATAAGCCTTGAATGGGATAGATATTTCCATTTGTAAAGACAGAACTTGTCTAATTTATGACAAGCACAAGATGGAAATTTAAAAAAACCACAAGAGCATTTCTCATGGAGGAATTCTCATGATGTGATTGAAAGTAGTATTAAGGATGCCATCAGGGTGTCCACACAAGTACTTTTATCTAGTACTCTTGTATCAAAATGTATCAATTAAAAAAAAATACCTTGTGAAAGCAGAAAGGATATCTTTGAAGGTCCATTTCAGGGTATACTTGGTCTTGTCATCAATCTGCACAGTGATGATCATGTTGTCCCTCGTAAGCTCTGGGATAGAAAAAAAAAAGCCCAGTCAAAAGAGTGTAAAGAAGTTGTTCCCTGGTATAGCCCTAATAAATTTCGCAAGTGATATATTTGAAACACATTTATTCTTACCCAAGAGTTCAGATCTTATCCTTTTAATTCAACAAATAGTAAGCTCCATTTATGAAAATTCTCCGTTATATAAAATCAATTTTGATTTCTTTCAACTAGAGACAAACTATGGCCAGTCTTACTTCATCTAGATCTGTCTTGCGTGATTGCCATGTGCAGGAAAAAACGAGTAGCAACCAATTACATGTGCAGCTACGTAAAATTTGATAAAATTTTGTTGACAGATCAGAATTGCAAGACTATGTATATATATGTGTGTTTAGGACTCTGTTGACGAATAGTTTTATTTTTAAACCTGATACTCATCAGTCCTCGGGCTGCATAAGTTCTGTAACGTAGACGTGAGCATGAGTCCTCACCATATAAAAATCTCAAGGGCGCCCACCAGCCTTTTGGCCATTGGGCTGATATCTGGTGACACCATATATTTTACCAACAGGCCGAGGTGGCGCAGTTGCTTTGAAGTTTCTAAATACGTCTTTAGAATTACATTCCATTTCCTATGATATAGACACAGCTTACAAATTATAGCATTCTCATAATCAGTGGAAATCAAGAGCATCAGCGACAAAGGCTAGAAATTGGCAGAACTTGCAGAGATGTGTGGGAAAAAGATTATCAGGCAGTCACTGAAATGGATGCTGTGCACCGTGTGTAGTGTGTACCTCTAAGGGCCAATTTGCTGGCGGTATGTAAGGACAAATTAACATTAGTTAAATAAGGATCGTCCAACTCAGACGGGTGGATGGTGGTGTAGAGTAGAGCAGCATAGCAAGTCCCATGATTTGCTTTGTGTCCCATTGTTTTGCTTTGAGCAACCGGGCAAGCCACTTGGCTGACTTGCTGCAGCAGCGAACAGCAAGACCGCTTGCAGTGTGAACTCTGAACAGTGGAGGAAGGGAGAGGCTGTGCTTGTCTTGGTGCAAGATGTAGAAAGCCGAAGCTATTTTTAACTTTCCGGCGTTGATCAGCTGAGCGAGTGGATCAGTGAGAGGAAGCATGGTATTGTAGTAACAGAGATCTAGGTTTCTGGTAGTAATAAATAGATTTAGATTACCCTAGAATGGAAAACTCCAGAGGTCGTAGTGATTGGATTTTGTATCGTATGTATGTAACCTATTTTGTAGATGTTTTACACCCACAGTGACATAATACAGAACATTTAGGAGATGGGCAAGGCCTACTTCAACCCAATGTCTGGGCCAACCTGGGCTGAGAGGGAACAACGCCCCAGCAGAAAGACGGAGGTTCTCAGTAAAAATTTCTCCCCATACCGGAATCGAACTGAGGTCTTTTGCGTGCTACAACAAAACGCTTGGCCCGTGCACATTAAAAATAAAACGGCCTTTGCATCTTAAGAATAGCCGATCCATTATTAATTTTTAAGACCATTGAATAGAGCTTTTTGTTTTTTACAACCCGACTAAGTAAAAAAAACAATCTTGCACTTTTAGTACAAGCCTCTCAACGCAAATAACCAGAATCTTCTGTAATATGTAGATCTACTGAGCCCAGAGCCACGAGAGTTCGCAACGTCATGACACAGTACAGCAAGACTGTCCGCGAGTCACAACTCACCAGAAGTTCACCCCGGTAATGAGCGGGAGGCAAAGCAAAGCACAAGCCTCTAGCGCAAGCCGTCCGCTGCTTGCAATCCTTTGATTAATCGAGCAGACTTCAGCTCTAGTGCAGAGGCACAAACAAGATGTTTGTATAGGTGTTCCTTTTCGTACACAAGCAAAACCTGGCGGCAAGCCGGGGTGGCGGTATAACAGTGGCCAGTATATTGAGGTTTGACTGTATATTCTTTAAAGTGACCATGAATGTAGAAAGGTCGCAAGTAGGGGACATAATTTGGTGACAGAACATCTGCCAGGATTCACCTCATTTGGCACTCTTTGGCTTGATCTCCTGACAGTACAAAATCCTATCCTCTTTTTTTGATCAGTTGCAGTATTGGGAAACATCAATCAACGGATTAATCTTGTCAAAATTAGGAACATTGAGACAGGACTTACTTTTATTGAAGAATTCTGAGGTTCTTTCATCTCACACACAAAATGATCATTAGGGCTGTCAGTATTATCTTTTTAAATGTGAATTTTATAATATACAACACTGGTACCCAAAAGTTTGACGGAAAATATATTTATTTGACTTGATTAGATATTGTTTCTCAGTTTATTGAGAAGCATCCTGCTGGGCAGCCTCTGTTTTAGACTGATAAATGAAAACATTTTCATTGAAAAAAAAAAGACTCTTCATCTTTCCAAAAAGGGGAGATCCTAGTTTCATTTTGGGCAGTGATATAGGCACTATAAAAAATGATAAAAGAAACTGTTAAAAAATATGGTAAAAATTGATACGCTCTTCTCCACAACATATTAGGTCCAAGTTGCATGCCTCAATTGAAAATTCAACTAAACATATAACATTATATCACATTAGCTGTTAAGTTCAGTTTAATACTTTCTGTCCAAGATTAAAAATTCATATATAAGCTTCTATAACCCTTCACTCACCTGGAGTAAAAAATGTGGCATTGTAAGGGTTAATCAGGGTTGCCTGTACCGTCTCCGATAGACCACTAAATTCCAGGGTTATCGTTCCTTCCACCTCCTCTGGAAAAATTATCATAGCTCTCTCGCCAGGCTAGGGAAAGGAAAAATAACAAAATACAGCAAATGTCATAGGTTTGTCACTACAGTTTACAATTCTTATACACCTGATACAACAATAGCTTCCATCTATTTAAGTAACTACTACTTTAAGAGAATCATTTGCTCCCTGGGAGGTTAATGTGAGTTCAACATATTAGATCAGCTGACAGACTGTAAATGTTTTAAGCCCCCATCAATACAATCAAGATTATTTAAGGGGGCAGGCTATTTTGATGTGCATTGAGAATTCTGGATAAAAGATCACAAAAGCGGTAATAATATCACCAGAAACAGAGGATAAAATGGTTTGGCCACCTGTTACGCATGTCACCTGACCAGCCAGCCTCGAGAGCCTACAACACCAAGCACTCAGGCTATAAAGGAAGAGGAAGGCCCAGGTAAAAGGTGGATCGAGGGTGTCAAGGAAACCCTAAGAAAACATAACATCACAACTGAACGAGCTGAAGAGCTGGCCTACCATAGAAAACTGCATCTCCCCTCGACGCTTAACAGCAACAGAGGATGAAAAAGTAAAAGTAAGTAAGTACCAGACAACCCCACCTTCTGCAATCCTGAACATCTCGACATCTATCCAAGATAGGTCGATATTTTTTCGTCAAGAGCAAGCACACATGAACGAGTTTTAAGATGAAACCAATAACTCCAATATCAAATACTTGACAAGAACCGAATTCCACCATACCATGACAGACACACACACACACACACACACACACACACACACACACACACACACACACACACATGCACGCATATATACAAACAGCCATACGCACACACCCACACACACACAAACACACATATATATATATAATAATAATATATATAATATATATACATATAATCGCGTCAGTAGCTTAGTGGTTAGGCTATTGGACTTGTAACAGTGAGACTGCTAGTTCGGGGGTTCGAGCCTCAGCTCCGTCCGACGTTGTGTCCTTGGTAGAGGCACTATATACAAATTTCCCCCTCCCCTGTGGAGATTGACGTTGAACTCGGAAGTCCCGCCCCTTAAATTACCTAACAGTGTTTTTAGGGGCGTTAAACCTGTACCATTTTACCATATATATAAAGGCCTATTTTTTGTATAATATAATACAAGCCTCTATTTGTGGTGGCCGAATTTTGCTATTCAAAAGGCTTTTTAATGGCTGCATCGATCGACATGCAGTTTTCGCCTAAAGATTCTTCAAAATATTCTCCAGATCATGACGCCCTTGGTTTTTTCAGTTTTGAGACAGTTTTGTTGCAAAAAGCTAAATTTCTTTATTTCGCCGATCGCTTTTGCAGGCCAACGCTTCTGAATCTGTAATTTTAGAAAATCTGGTGCGGAAGTGATATTTTGCGAGGCGTATTTTGTTTTGAGAGTATAGATCTAGACCTTCTAATTTTTTTGCATCTCTTAAGATTTATTGCTCCATTCCCGTAGAGTGTAAATATAGTAGGCCAATGACTTTCAGATGATGTTAATGCACCGATCATTCCTTTCATCGAAAGGGGGCCCAGCTAGTATATTATATACATGTATACATATATAACGTGTGTATTCAGTAATAGAAAAAATTGTAAATACATGTATTTTAGATGACTAGAAGAAGAAGAATGACTGACACAAAATTCACACAAATGGGTTATTGTGCTGATGACTCTAGTTCAAATCCATAATGAAGCACTTTTGAACTTTTTCAGAGTTTTCAAGACTCCTCAACCACAAGGCTCAGTCCAATAAGAGATGGAGGTCTCTCCTCTTAAGCAACCTTTTTGGTATTGAAAGTAACACTAAAACCCATGCTTTTACCTATAAAAAGAACAATGTGAAAACCCACCGTGCTGAAGGCAGACGGTACTATCTCAGCCCCCCAGTAAGGGTTGGTAATTTCTTTACGTCGATTTATAGACTGTCTGCGCAATCCTTTCTCCAGATTATTGTCCCTGCTGTCAAGTACCTTGGTGACCACATGGCACATGTTGCTGCCATCACCAAGAAGCTGTATGAGAAAGAGAGAAGAATATGAGGTATACCAGAGACAATGTCTTGAGTATGTTACGAAAGTGTGTCTAATCTGCCATCTTTCTGAAAGAGGAAGCTTGAAAAAAATCGTTTAACTAGATCTAAAGTGGAAATGCAAGAACTAAAAAAAATCCACCCAAAAAAAAGAAGAAAAACTGATCAAATTATATAGGATATATCCAATAAAGAATATGTGCAGGTTATAAAAGTAAGCAGAAAAAAAAGTACAAATCAGTGTAGACTCTTAACCAGACCATAATTTTTTCCCTTCTTGATCAAATACACATAACAGATCCTATCTTACAAAAAAAAAGACAAAACCCATTAAAAATGCAATAACTTACTCATCGGTTGTCTTTGGACCAGTTTCAGCCAAACTTAAATTACAACAAATAAAAATGCAACCACAGGGACGATTTGTCATGTTTTGAAAATCAACTGAGGTATCCAAAAAATATTAAGTTTTCTAAATTTCAACCACAATTGAATGGAATGCAAAACTTTGCAACTTCTTAAAAATCAACCATGTTGTTTAGTACATTTTTTAAAATCACTATCTGTGCAATGGAGAACAAACTCAATTAAAGTTGATTTTGCCATACGTACACACTCAGTGAAAATGGTCGCTATTTAAATTGTATGCCCCAGGAGTTGACCATTTATCTCTATACAAGTTCCTTAATACCCCAATATAAGCTCTGTGGCCCCATGTTCAACATTGATTTTTAAATGTTTGTGTTTTTGTTGTTTTTGTAGACTGTCGAAAAACCAAAAGGAAATAATTGGAGGTGCTCAAGTCGGAGGAATGCGGTGACCATCCAGTTCATTTTTTAGTTATCCGCGTATAAGGTGTTCCCCAAACATTTCTTGTAACCTCGCAAGGGCCACTCTAGCTGTGTGGGTTGTGGCCCCAGACCTCCTCAACTACATAACCTTTCTCCTCTCCAAACATTTCCAAAACCTTTTCTGCATGCTGTGATATACCCATCTAATGTGGCTGCCATGGTCTTACTGTTCTTGACCTGAAACTAGAACAGGCAGATCTTGCTCCTGTAGCTGAACACTTTCAAGAAGTAAAGTTTTGTGTTTTACGCAATTTTGGACGAAATTGAAACCACCCCCCCCCCTCCCCCAAACTTGATAATAATTCTCAAATACGTCCTTTGATTTTCTTCATATCTAAAAACTTGATGTCCTCCTGTTCGAAATATTGTAACAATTAGTGCAGACAAGAGAGAGTTATTGCCATTTAGAGGTTCCTTTTTTTTTAGACAGCATGTCAATGTATTAAAATAATAATTATGTATTTTTGAAAATATATACCTTACAAAACTCAAGAAGTTACCAGAAGTCTGACCTCGAAAATCTGTAGGTCTAGGTAGGCCTATACTGATAGTTACAATTTTGTACAAAATATAAATCTCATTACAAGCAAAGTGTTTCATTTAGAATGCATGTAATTACTGGCTATGTGCTCCAATATCCAAAAGAACAATATCTGTCACCTCAAAGGTGTTGTCAATGTTTTTTTTTGTCAGAAATTTCTCAGTACTGAACCTGTATCAAATGACCTTCAAAACTTGGATACAAAAATCCATACTATTCTGCAGATAATTGAAACCTGGATCCACTGGCTGGAAAAAAAAAGCCATGCTTCTAAACCACATTGAGCCTCTTTATGAAGCATGACGAGTTTTGCTTAGAAAAAGAGCATGCAATTTATCTCTACGATGACTGGGGAGGTGCGACTCTTTGTAATTCTAGGAATGGTCTGCTTTATTTCCTTCTTTTATGGGATGCCACGTAGGCCTTCTGATTAATTCTAACTATCCTAATCCATATCCAGATAAAATAATAATATGGTCGATGCCATAGCGACTCGCGCTAAGCGCTAAACGACAACTCAGCACACTGTCGCCTCAAAAACTATTTTGTACAAAGTGTACTTGAGTACAGAGTGCACTTTGAACTAAACGTTCTCAGAGGCGACGACACATTGAGACCTGGCTTACCTCCACCAGCTCCCACGCGTCTCCTGTGTAGTTGTGTTTGGCACAGACGCTCTCAATGTCATCCTGGTCTGCGTTCAGGTAGACTCCGATGATGCTGGTGACCACCGTGTCCCGCTGGTCCAACATGGCCGCAAACCACCCCGCCTTCTGCTCCATATAGTCCAACATGGCTCCTGTTATGAACAACACGATCACATAGGACTCCTGGATAGCCACGGCAACCTCTGGGGGAAATCATGAAAGACAAATGAAATAATATAAGAAATCAAGGTGACCACTCCACTGTTAAGTCTAAAAGGATTTAAAACGAACAAAAAGCAGTAACAACACCACTAGCAACAACACTGGTAGCAACAACAACAACAACGACAACAACAACAACAACAACAACAGCAATAACATCATCAACAACAATAATACCACAGGCACAACAACGGCAACAAGAGCAAACCTTTTCAGAGCCTGACCAACCCCCCCCCAAAAAAAACAACAACAACAAAACAAAACCCAACAACAAACAAACAAACAAACACATAACAAACCCAACCAAACAAAAACCCCACTAAAACTAAAAACAACCAATATTAGTTCAGTAATAGTATACTTCAGTCTGTACACAGGACAACTCCCTCCTAGACACAGACGGTCGTTTTATAGACAGGGGGTACTACACCTTCATGTGGTCAGAATAAAAAGAAAAAGAAAAAAAGAAGTTACAGTAGCACCGAAACACTTGTTTTGTAGCCAACCTTAGGACTTTTATCAGAGGGCCCGTTTATCCCAATTGCAGTACAAGTTTAACAAGTTAAG